CAATGAGAAAGGGGTTGATATTGTTACTGGTTTACCAACATATACAATTCTCATGACAGTTTTTCATCTTGTGGCTGCTTTTCTCAAACTTAAATCTTGTTTAACATGTTTTCAGCAGTACATGTTAATGTTAATGGAGCTTAGAATGAACTTGTCCTTTGACTTCATTTCAAAATTGACTCAACCACTGTTTCAAAACTTTTCAAACACTGTATCAGTGTGATGCATTGTAGACTGGTGCCAAGTCTAGTGTTGTGGCCTGACAGAGAATCCCTAAGACAATCTTTGCTATATGCATTTCAGAACAGCAGCTTTGAGAAGACTGTTTGCATCATGGATTGTTTAGAAATATATCTAGAGAAACCGAGTAGATTGCTAGCCAGTGCTCAGTGTTACTTCTCGTACAAGTCACATCACACAGTCACATATTTAATTGCAATTTGACCTCAAGGTTCTATTTGTTTCATCTCCTCTGAATGGGGAGGTTGCACAAGTGATAAGTTTATTACAGAAAAAAGTCATTTTTTATCTCATTTGCTCCCAGGTGATGTAGTTTTAAAGATTCCAGCATTTACTCGTGGAAAGAAACAGTTGGATCCTGTTGATTTGGAGAACACCAGATGTCTTGCTTCTCTCAGGATACATATAAAAGAGTAATAGTTCTCCGTCAAAAGTACACAATCTTGCAAAGCACTGTCCCCATAACTTTCACAGACAGACAGAGAAAATGATGTGACCCGTCTTGACAAGATTGTGGGTGTATGTTGTGAGCTTACAAATGTATCTGAATCTGTGGTGCCCTTCCAGTGATGTAAATGAAAATGATGTGACTGATGTGCTCAACCAACAAATACACTCTCACTTTTTGTTTGCTTATTGTGACTTGACTTTTGAAGGGAAAGCTTTCTTACTTGTCCTACAAATATCAGAATAAGAGAATGGCAGACCTGGGCTCACTATTTTTGGATCTTCACATCCATCTCAAATGATTTCCACTAACCGCGTTTCATATTCCTGATTGACAGATACAGATCAGAATTAAAATCAGAAAAAAGTTTTATTGCCTTTGTCAGTGAACAAAAATCTGCAAACTAGCCACTTGCTT